TCTTCTTTTAATACTTCCTGGATCATTTAATATTCTGCCCAAAGCATCCTTGATTACAGCAACTCTAGGTTTGAATCTGTTCTTCAGTTCCTTGCCTTAAGAAATGCTGAGTGAGTCCGGCCCTTTTGATTTTCCGACTCTAGCTCCTCGCACATTTCATTGTAGTATTTTGCTTATCAGACTATAGGCATGGAAAAGGGACTTGGTAATCCCATAGAAATGACCATTGAAGATATAAACTATCAGCAAAACAGGTATGAAAGTGAATGACCTCAATTTGATAAAATACATCGTTAACAGTGAAACAACATATACTTTTTTACAAAGATTGGGAGCAAGGCAAAGATATCTGAACTAGAAGGACCCTAGTAATGTCACAGGTTAATCGCTGGGCTGCTAACACAAAGAAAGGTGCTTCCAGCCCACCAGATGTTCCATGACAGGGTGATGAGGCAGTCTATTCCTGAATACAGCCTCAGAAGCTCAATGGCATGGTTCTACGCTGTCCTACAGGGTCACCAAGAGAACAGACTCCACAGCCATAAGTGTCTGGTTTTATAGCTGAACAGATGGCAACTCTACTTATGAGAAAGTTTTTACGTTGAGTGGAAAGCCTGCCTGCTTTCAAATTTCACCTTAGTATATTGGAGTATACTCCTAACATATCTCTGTAGATTTTTCTGAGCTATAGACACACAGCTCCAACACTAGCAGATCTCCAAATGACAGGATTTTCATTTCTATTGAGAATTTGCAGGCTTCAAATACTTGTGATGCCAAGTTTGGGCAGTTTTCTTCCCCTAAAACATGATGCAAAGACTTGTCTACCTCATTTAAGTTTTTCTTCTGGAGATAACAGAACACAGCTGAGTTTACATACAGCAGCATACATAAAGAGAACTCTGGTGACCTCGTGGTGAAGCAGCTGTGCTGCCAGCTCAAAGACAAGTAGTTTGAGTTAGTTCCAACTCGACAACAAACAACAATAACAACAAGAGCATATAAAAAAATGCTACCACTCATCTATCATTTTGCCATATGGCAGCAGCTTGTGTGTTGCTATGATAGGAGAAGCTCTGCTACAGGTTATTTCAAATCCCAGCAGAGCCACCCATGGTGGACAGCTTTCATCTGAACTTCCAGAAAAAGATGAAGAAGTAGGATTCACTTCTGAAATAACAAGCCCTCAAAAACTCTAAGCTACACTACAGGAAGAAGAATGTGGCTCCAGGAAAGGAGAAAGACTTCTCAACAACCTATGTTATGAAGATGGTACAACCTTGCTTGCAGAAAGTAGAAAAGGCTTGAATCACTTACTGAAGAAGATCAAAGACTATATAGCTTTCAGTATGGATTACACTTCAATGTCAAGGAAACAAAAATTTTCACCACTGGACTAATGGGTAACACTGTGATAGATGGAGGAAAGGCTGAAGTTGTCAATGATTTCATTTTACCTGTATCCACTATCAACTCTATGACAGCAGTATTCAAGAAACCAAAAGACATGCTGGGCAAACCTGCTGTCCAAGACTTCTTTAAAATGCTAAAAAGATAGGATGTCCCTTTATACACTAAAGAGAGCCCGACTCAAGTGAAGGTACTTTCAATTGCTTTGAGGTGTTTAAATGTTGGCAGAGAGCAAGGAACATCCTGTGGA